TGGTCGAAGAAGAAACTCTATTCTAGTTTTGAGAAGGGAAACAGTGAAGCTCTTGATGAAGTTACTACCACTGATGTGACTGTTACTGATGATATGACATTTCCTGATGGAGCAGATGAACCCCACGTGAAGCAGAAGCCAACGAGACAGAGACCAGTATGGAAGAAGAAATGTCCCGTAAAATTAAGACTTTGTTGAATTGTAATTTTGTGTTTGTAATTCTGTACATTTAATTAAGTTATTGTTAATTGTTATTGGTTTAATGTAAGTGGCTATTGTTTGGGATGAACAATACTAAGGGAGGTGAAAGGAAGCATTCTACTTTCCTAAGTTCCTAACCACAAATTATATTTAAATTATACAATTATAGTTGCAGCTTATGACTAGTTTGGCACATCTGCACCTGGTTTCACTTTAACTGCCATTATTTAGGCCACCCATACTCATGTTAATTAATGTGACACAACAGTAAGAAATTCAGTGCAGATGAGTGTATATGCTGGTAAATCATGCTTATGAGCACCATATAAATTACTGGCAGTTACTAAATCACATTTAAAAACTCGATAGGTTTAACTACACGAACACTACAGGAGACAAGTCTGAAATTGATCAAATGAAAATTACACACACTGCGGAGAAGGGTGTAATCATAACATAATATAAGCCTAGAGGCTCAAAGGCTATATTTAATATTAAAGGTTTTGATAGAATGAGAAACTTAAATATAGGCTAATTAATTAGTAGTGCTAGATTACAGTTCCTAGATTAAGTCGCTACTACATCTAGATCTAACACTAATGTTAGACCTGTTATTTCCATCTTTTTAGTCTTAGGTTTGGATCTAGATGTAATAATAATGACAGAAATTGAGCTTTATACATCTAAACTAGACCTTAAATCTACCCAGATCTAAATATTATCCTGTCTCATCAATTCTAGATTTAGATTTATTAGGCCTAACTTTTAGAAGAATTGTTACATCTAGATCTATTAACTTAGTCATTAAATCTGTCCCAGTGCAATGCCTAGTTTAATAGTTAGTATAGGTCTAAGTATGCCTATAACATAGGCTACAATTTGTATGATGATGATGGACCTAGGGTCTCGAAATAAAGTTATAACAGCAATTAGACCTAAAGTCTAGTACATTAGTTGGTGTAAGACATGATTTACAATCAGCCAATACAATTACAAACCACTACATTAGGCCTGTAATGTTTACTATGTTACGTCTCCGTTACGTCTCAAAATCAAGAGCTTTTAGTTTAACTTTGCAAAACGTTTTCTGCTAAACCTTCTTTTATCTTACAGATCCTACTCGAATATTCAAAAGGAAATTAGTGAACTTGAGAATACTGTTACATCTCCGTTTGTTAGTTAATTTTCCGTAAATTCGTTCCGACGAAACTTTAGCGACACAAGTCCTTTCTTAAATAAATCTGGTTTATTCTTTCTGAATATAACTTTGCGATACCCTTAATTTCAACAGTCGCGCTATAACAAACGTCTCACGTGCTCGACTTCAACAATACTCAATTCAATTACACACTCTCTGACAGCAGTTCAATTACTCACTACCTTCCCGTCGCTTCGTGGCCGGTCTTATATATACCAAACTACCCCCAATCTAGTAGTCTCCCGATAATTCATGAAGGTTCGAGAAGGACGTGGCGTGATACTAGTCACGTGACCTCGCTGACGCAACTACTAGATCTATATCTAGGCCTTGCCTGTTGCATATATTGCCAATCTTGCACACCAGTTAATATGTTACATCAGTCTCGTATTTTCTTTCTGTTGAACATACCCTTACTTATAAGTTGTACTCTAAGACTTGTATTTGATCTACAGATGAATGATGGAATAATGTAATTTACTTCTGTACGTCAATTCGGTCTCACTGTATTTCAGTGGGCGGCTTTTAAAAGTTAAAACTGCAAGTGTAATACACACAAATAACGTAATGCTGTGTCGTATTTATTTAACGTAGGGCAGTTGCGCTATATTCTAGGGGAGGGTATAATTATTCATTAATAGGCATTATAGGCCAGAGGAAATTTTGCGCCCCTTCACACCTGCGCCTGGGGGCGACTGCTCCTTGCCCCTCTCTTGCTACTTCACTGTATATAGCACCTAGACCACTATCACGTCTGTCGCATCCCAGACAGCCTGATGAGTCATGATATTAGACGAAAGGCGTCGTCAGCCCTGGATACAGCAGATGTAGTGTTACGTCTCTGGTCGTTTGTTAATTCCCCTATAATTTCTGTCGGATGAAACTTTAGCGATACAAGTCCTTTCTTAAATAAAACTAGTTTATTATTTCTCAATACAACTTTTCAATACACTTAATTTCCACAATCAGTTTAACTTGAACACACGCTATAATTCACAACGAACGATTCACGCACTTACTTACTACTGCGCTTGACTCAATTGTCCGTCTCTGTCTGTCTGCAATTCTATATCAATTCATCGTCTGGCGCACTTATATACAAGAATACCGCACATCTAGCAAACACTCGAGGATTCACGAACCTTCGAGAATATCATGACATTTAATAGCGTCACGTGACTTCCGCTGTCGTAACAGTAGTATGGTTGACATAACATAATCGCCTTAGCTTTCACTCATGGGTTCTTAGAATTGTGATGCATACCTAAAAAAAGGTGTTAAATATAGATATTACTAGCATATAAAGTGTATAATAACCAGCTTAGTGTAGAATATTACGGTATTATGGCCTGGAGAATGAAAGTCGTAAAAGTTTAGCTTTGTTTGTAGGTAAACAGATGACCCTTGTTTAATGCGTACACTCTCAGCAACTGGTTATAATATTTTTAACAAGGAATTATTGTAAACACATTGTTTATAAGTATAAATTTCTGTATCACGTATTGTATTATGGAACTTAACACCGTGTTTAACACTTAAAAATCCTGTTAAGGTATAATGCATCATGCTATATATACGTGCTTTCGCTTTATTTGTAAAGAAAATAATGGGGAAAGTTAAACATTTTACAATGACTTTCCTCAGAATAAAATAAAAAATCAAATTGTATTGTAATAGAAACATGTCCACAAACTGAAATATCTAAAATATGTTAATAAATGAAATGAATACTAAAACATGAGAAATTTTATTCACAGATAATATATATATCTTGAAATTATTATCGGCTAGACTGTTTTTTATTGCCCGTTTTTTAGTAATTAAAATACACAGTGAGTATTGTTAATAGAAATGAATAGTAAAACGTGAGTATAATTTTGTTCAAAGACTAAAACTGATAATTTCAACTCTTAGACAGGCGTGTCACAGGAATCAGCTGAATATGTAAATAATATCATCACGTGTAAATGGAAAAGAAATCTTGTAACCAGTGTTTATGATACCACTTTTAATATATTAACCAACAAGTACTACTTGGTGTTAGCTAAAGGCCCAACTGATAACCAGGGAAGTAAGTATAACTCATTATTTTATTTAAAAAAAAAGAAAATATCTTTTACGTAGCATATGTTGTTGTTTTTTGTTTGTTTGTTAATGGGGGAATAATCAAATCAATATCTGTATAAACGCATCTGGTGGTGAAAGACTATCTTAGCTGAAATGAATATTGTTACGACTCCGTTCGTTAGTTAATTTTCCGTAAAAATTCTTCCCGAAGAATTTTACCGATACAAGTCCTTTCTTAAATAAAACTGGTTTATTTTTTCTGAATACAACTTTGCGATACACTTAATTTCAACAGTCGCTCTATAACAGACGCTATAATTCACAACGAACTTCTCACGTGCTCAACAATATTCTTACTCATTCCCTTACGTTGCTTCTTGGCGGTCTTATATATATACAAGACTACCCCAATCTAGTAGTCTCCCGACATTTCCTGAAAGTTCGAGAAGGAAGTGGCGTGATACTAGCGTCACGTGACCTGCGTTGTCGTAACACTGCCCCTTGACAATTTGCATGTTGCAACTAAATAGTGTAGTCAGTATTTATTAATGTATTATTTTAGCCCATTATATCAAAAAAGAAAGTGGGACACAGGGACGCAAAAGACGTGCACAATTTGCAGCTTCGATGGTGGAGTCAAGCAAATTGATAACAGCTTTTTTTGCTGGAAGTGATGACACCAGTAAGTCAGCACCTGTTCCTTTTGATGTCAGCAAAGAGGTCAAAGTGCAAGATTGTGAACATGCTATTTCATTTGAAAAAGAAAACAATGAAGAAACTATTCACTGTCCTGTTGAAAGCTACAATAATAATAAACAAGAGGATTCCACTTTATCAGAAACAAATCCACAGAATAGTGTTGCTAAGCTAAAAGAGGATGACCTAATAAATATTTTAACACACAGGGATATTGGATTTATGAAGTTTGCTACAACAGGCTCAGCAGTTGTAACACATGCACATGGCACAGAGAATGTTAAAGTTGGAGCACATGAATTTCAATATAAATAAGGTCCATTTGATGCCAAAGATAGGCATTCTATGACTGCATTTTGGTTCGAACGACGCTTTCTGAATGGACAAGAGGTCAATTGGTCCTGGTTGGTGCATTCACCTTTACATAAAGCAGCATACTTGCTTTTGTTGTCTCTTTTTTGTCTACATATATGACATCCAATAGTCGGTTTGCTTTCAAAACACAGGGTGGATTCTCTAAGTGGAAAAAAATTGAAAAGTTAAATGCCATGAAAATAGTGACAGTCATCGTGAGTCATTTGCTGCTTGGAAAGAAACTGAGCGCCGAATTCGTCTTCAAAGTAGCATTGATGAAGATCTGCAAAGGCAAATTCAGCAAGAAAAAAAATAAATAGAGAGATGTACTGCGATGATTGCTGGATTGTACACAATATTTAGCTTCTCAGAATCTTGCATTTCGTAGTCATACTGAAGACATAACATCAAACGAAAACCATGGAAATTTCATGTCACTTTTGCAGTTATTAGCAAAGTATGATACAGTAATGAGAGAGAATTTAGAGCATGTTAAAAACAAGAAAACGTCAACAATGTTTATAAATCTCATGGCTTCACATGTGCGAAATTATTGTTTGTCAGCAGTTCGTACAAACAAGTACTGTGGTATTCTGTTTGATTCCACACCTGATTTAGTCCATCGTGAGCAATTGGCCCAAGTGATTCGTTTTGTTGACATTGACTTTAAGACAAGAAAAGTAGAAGTCAAAAAATCATTAACTGACTTTATTCAGATAAAGGAAAAAACGCTGCCAATATTGAGAAAACAATAAGCATAAAATTAGAAGTGGATGGAATTTTATTGAGTGATTGTTGTTCACAATGTTATGATAATGCTGCTGTCATGTCAGATCATCTGTTAGGTGTTCAACAAAGAATTCTGAACAATAATCCAAAAGCAGTGTTTATAAGCTGTGACAACCATAGTTTGATGTTGCAAGTCAGGAAACAACAATTATTACTTTTTTGGTATAATTATTGAAGCTATTTATAATTTCTTTGCTCATTCAACAACTCGATGGGACGAACTGCAGCAGGAGCTTAAGATCTCTATCAAGTGTGAATCAGAAACATGGTGGAGTGCAGGAGAAAATGCAGTAAAAGTTGTACATGAAAAACTGGATGAATTGCGAAGACTGTTACAGCAAGTAGGTGAGAAAGGCAACATGGTTGAAACAAAATGTGGTGCTTATAATATTCTGTAACGCATGCTTACATTT